AGAGAGAGAGAGAGATAGCGAAAAGCTACTAACTCCCGATGGCCATGGCCTTGAATTTTTTGGGTAAGTAGTTGTTAGTCGAATATAAATGAGTCTGGACATTTTTTGATGGGTAGTTTCGGTTGTACATGTTTGGGAACGGGTTAAGAGGCGGTCCAATGCTTACAACCTAAGATCAGGAGCAAACTTATCAAAAAAAAGAAAAAAAATTGGGATTCCATCGTTCTGGGTAATATGGGCCAATTTTGGGGCATTTCATTATAACGGATCTTAAATCTGGTCCATACGTAAATTTCCCTAATATTATTCTATTATCTTCAGTTGTATGATATTATATTATCTCTCTCATGCTTAATCACGTTTGGATAGGCCAACGTTTCTTTTTAAAAATTTCTGTACACATGTTTTGGCCATCTTTCTTGCTTTAAAAAAACCTTAATTATGGGTCAAAAAAGATGCCATGTTTGTGCAAAATACCCCGACTATATAAAATATGATTTTGGATACCCCTAGGATTGAAACGGCCATTTAGTCAAATTCTAATCTAAGACAATAGGTGGGATGTTAAATAATTGAACTTTTAAGTGGAATTTGGTTGAATTTCTTGATATTCCATAACTTTAAAAATTAAATAAAGAAATACTATTCCTGACTTTTACTCAAATTATTTATTTTAAAATTTATTTGTAATCTAATTTGGTACGCATGTGCTATTAGCCAGCTGTATATCAAGCCTAAAATAAGCCCTTGACAAAGTGCAACATTTTTTTTGTGAAGGCATTGTCATGCCATTATTTTTACCTAGGTTTAAAATTTTGGCGATCTGGATTGGAAATGTTCAATTCAGATAAAAAATCATTTAGGATATCTGGTTCCCTTAATATATGAAGAACTGGCTGTGTCCCACAGAATCGGCTAGTTCAGGTCGGTTAATACTATTTCTGTCAGAAAAACTTACAATTCGCCTTGTACTGTTTTGTCATAGAAAAGTATGATTCACCCAGAACCAGTTCCACATATAGCTTTTAAATTTAAAAAATTTAAACCGGTTCCTCTATGTAGTTTTTAAATTATCGAAATTTGCAGGCAGCGGTAGATGGTGCACCCCACTTAACCTCCACGTATCTTATTTTTATCCTAGTTGGCCCCACTCTTTGCATGCGTAAGACGTCGCGGCAACTGTTTCGCTTTAGTGTGAGAAAGCACTAATTTAAACCTCATCGCCTTTATAACTCCCTCATGTGGTGAAGAAAAATAGTTGAAAATTTAACTTAGACTGAAAATGGCAGAAAGAGAAAAATTGATATGGAGAAAATGAATACTGCTATGAAGCTTATGGATAACTGAAGCGATAGGCCAATGATTTTGAGATTTTTTTGTGTTTTCCATGGGTTAGTGAGCCAATTTTATTAGCATTGGAGTTCTCTCCTTACCACATATAACAGATTTTGTATTCAATGGTCTAGATCTCTCTTTGCCCATATTAACAACTAAGCTTTATTTCACTATTCTCTCTCTATTTTCCTCTAAAGGAAAGGTCTTGATTAAAAAACAACCGTTAATGCATTATTAATGGGTGGCTTGAAAAAGGAAAAAATGACATTTACTAAAAAAAGAGTGGTCAAAGAATTTAAAGAAAATAAAACTATTATATAAAATAATAATATTATTAAAAATATTTTAAAATAGTAGAAAAAAGAAGGGACCACAACCAAATGGTCTTTATGAGACCTTTGTGGCCATACTCGAACATGTGGGACGTTTATTTCTCCTTTGCTCGACGCATCTTCTTTTTTGGCAAGGGAGACTAATATATATTATATGAGAAATGATTATATGGGACCCCCACCCATGTGTGTAAGATTCAAAAGGATCACCATTAAATTTAGCACGGATCTATAGAAAAGTCAAGTCCCTTACCCATATGATAATTTTTTTAGAAATTTGTGCCAACTTTAATGGTAATCCTTTGAAGTCTTACACATGGGTGTGAGCGGGAGCTATAAGATCATTACTCATACTATATATCAAACACTAGTAGATAAGATAGCTATTGAATATATTTAGTATTTTATTCACAGAAAGGGATGCATCATATATAT